ACGTTTAGAAAAGCAAATCCCTTTAGGAATGAACCATTTTAAGCATTATTCATCCAGGAAAGTACATTTGTTTGAAGATTTAGCACTGAGGTCATTAAATAAGATGATGTTTATAAGGTAGCATCTTTTACAAATTCACTTAATCTCAAAACCACCCTTTGTGTGTTTGCCTTCCTCTGGATGCAGAGAAAACTGGTGATCTCTTGACTGCTTTTACTTATTAAATTCCTCTTATCCAGGATTACTGTTCAGTCCAGCTTCAACTTAATCTGAGAGATGTGTCTTGGCTGGTTCTTTTGAGCCCTGTTCCAAGAGTTATTTTCTTTCCTGTTTAAGCAAATCTTAAAAAAAGCCTTGACATTTGGCAGTGATGTGGAAGTGGTTTCTGACACATACCAATTCAATTAGTATCTTAATTGCACCCATTATGACCATATAAACCTTATAAAGAGGAGGCAATAAAATTTAAAACTTTACAAGGTACAAGAGGAGTCTCAATGAAAGTGTCTAGATGAGGAAACGTGCCTGGAGCCACAATCAAAAACATTACAATTTCCACAATTGCAGGTTCTTCAAAAAAGCAGGAGCTTTTATTTTACTCGAAACACATATACAAAGATATGCGGGAACAGAGCAAGTAGCCTGCAAGTGATTCAATAGCAGAATATAACAAAATAACAGAGTTGGAAGGGACCTTGGAGGTCTTCTAGTCCAACCCCCTGCTCAAGCAGGAGACCCTTTACCATTCCAGGAAATGGCTGTCCAGTCTCTTCTTAAAAGACTCCAGTGACGGAGCACCCACAACCTCTGGAGGCAAGGCGTTCCACTGGTTAATTGTTCTCACTGTCAGGTGCTTTGGAAAATAAACTGACCCCCTCTTCTTTGTGGCAACCCCTCAAATATTGGAACCCTGCTATCATGTCTCCTCTAGTCCTTCTTTTCATTAGACTTGTTGTTGTTGTTGTTGTTAGTTGCGAAGTCGTGTTCAACCCATCGTGACCCCATGGACAACGTTCCTCCAGGCCTTCCTGTCCTCTACTATCTTTTGGAGTCCATTGAAGCTCACGCCTCCTGCTTCGGTGACTCCATCCAGCCACCTCCTTCTCTGTCGTCCCCTTCTTCTCTTGCCCTCCATCTTTCCCAGCATTAGGGTCTTCTCCAGTGAGTCCTTCCTTCTCATTAGGTGGCCAAAGTACTTGAGTTTCAACTTCAGGATTTGGCCTTTTAAAGAGCAGTCAGGGTTGATCTCCTCTAGACTAGACACATCCAATTCCTGCAACCATTCTTCATGTTTTAGCCTCCAGCTCTCTAATCATCTTTGTTGCTCTTCTCTGCACCCTTTCCAGAGTCTCAACATCTTTTTATAATATGGTGATCAAAACTGGATGCAGTATTCCAAGTATAGTCTTACCAAGGCATTACAAAGTGGTATTAACACTCCACGTGATCTTGATTCTATCCCTCTGTTAATGCGATGTAGGATTGCATTGGCCTTTTTGTCAGCTGCAGCACATGGCTGGCTCATATTTAAGTGAGTAGCCCAGAGAGTAAACTTCTTAGTTTTGTATTCTATTTCTAGGACATGATTTCAGAATTTCTCCTTGTTTTCTCCAAATTGGAGCAAGTTAAACTCACAGGACAATAGATGTTCTGTGGGGTTTAAGAGATGAAATGTGGGAAAAAAAAATCTTCTCCCTTTGTTCTAATTCCATTCCCAAAAGATGCTTTCGGCAACTGCCTGTTCTACAATGAAAATCAGTTATATCGTGTTGCTCACTGGCATAACAAAAATAAGGATCTAAGCACAAGTTTTTAAGAAGAGACTGGACAGCCATTTGTCCAAAATGGTGTAGGGTTTCTTGCCTGAGCAGGGGGTTGGACTCGATGACCTCCAAGGTCCCTTCCAACTTTATTATTATTATTTTGGATCATCGCACAGTCAGCCAGATGTTCAGACTGGATTTGGCATTTTGTCTATCTATCGAGTCCTTACCCAGGACCTGGGATAGGCAGATGTGGATGCTTGATGGTATTACAGATATCGTCGCAGGATGGAAGCAGTTCCTAGTAAGGCCGCCTTTTGCAGTTGACTAATAGCGAATTTGTCAATGCCAATGGTGCTCCAGTTGTTTTGGGATTGCACCCAAGGAGCCTATTACTATTGGTACTACCCTTGCTTGCTTTTGCCACAGTCTTTCTATTTCTGTTTGTAGGTCTTTGTATTTTGTTATCTTCTCCAGTTCTTTCTCTTCTATTCTGCTGTCTCCCGGCACTGCCACGTCCACTATCCAGACTTTTTTGTCTTTCTTATCGACAATTGTTAAGTCTGGGGTGTTATGTTGCAGGTGCTTGTCTGTTTGAATTCTGAAGTCCCAGAGCAGTTTAATTTTATCATTTTCTATGACTTTCTCTATTTTATGATCCCACCAGTTTTTGCTTACAGGCAAATGATATTTTTTGCAGATCTTCCAATGCACCATTGTTGCTACTTTGTCATGCCGCTGCTTGTAATCAGTTTGTGCAATCTTCTTGCAACAGCTTACCAAGTGGTCCACTGTTTCTTCAGCTTCTTTGCATAGGCGGCACTTACTGTCTGTTGCTATTATTATTATTATTATTATTATTATTATTATTATTATTATTATTATTATTATTATTATTATTTTCACCCCCCTCCCTAGTTAGCTGAGAGTGAAGAATGCATTATCAAGGTGAGAAGCCTTCTTAAAACATGGGCTGATCAGAAATGAAAAAGAATTGGGCCTGCGGAGAACAGATACAGCCGTTTGACCTTCCCCCCCCCCAGTGCATTCGTGGTAGGATGAAGGCTAGCAAGATCAAAGTCCGGCCGGTATTTGTCTTTCCCATTATAAACATTTTGGCTTGGCTTTTTTTTTTTTTTTTTCAAAAAGAAGAATTCTTGGCTTTTTATTTCTTCTACTACCCCAATGGTTCCAATTATTTGCGATTCCCTACAGCACTTCTTGGACTCAGCATGCAACCACACATCGTGTGGTCATTCCAGAAAGCGTTTCAAAAAGAAGCAGCATTAGTGTTGCTCTGAGCAAACCGGGCAGCTTTGCTATTGAAGAAAAACTTCGAAGTTGCATGCACAATGTACATTTTTCCTGAAAGGAAAGAGTAACACATTTTGCTTTATTTTTTTTTTTTTTAAAAAAATAATTGTCCCAAAATCTGCTCTGGAAAGCAGAACATAAAAATGAGTTTGGCTGTACAGGGCTGTCCTCAAGTTACGATCCCAACTGAGCTCAAAATTTATGTTGCTAAGTGAAACGTGTCAAGGGAGTTCAGCCCTATTTTACAACTTTTCTTGCCACGTTTGTGAAGTGAACCACTGCAGTTGTTATGTTAGTAACCCGGTTGTTAAGTGAATCTGACTTCCCCTTTGACTTTGCTTGTTAGAAGTTGGATCACATGAGCCTGGGAGATGCTTTCATCTTCATAAATATGAGCCAGGCAGAATTTTGATCACGTGGGGATGCTGCAATGGTCGTAAGTATGAAAACCGGTCCTAAGTCACTTTTTTTCAGTGCTGTTGTGACTTTGAATGGTCACTAAATGAACTGTTGTAAGTTGAGGACTATCTGTATACCGAACTGCATATCCCATAGAAGTGACTTGTGTTTTGATATGTTATTTGCCCCCAAATATCAACAGTGATGTCGAAAGACAAACTTCAAAAATGACATTCAAGACGACTAAAGCATAACCACATGTGGAGTTTCTAAACAGAGGTCTAAGAGACAATCCAGGGGAAGAAAAATAATTGGTGGAGATGAGTAACATATGCCATCTTAAAAAAAAAAAAAATGTACTTAGTGCATTTCTGTTTTTTATCTGAACCAGCCTTTTCCTTTAGCTCTTCAATTCAGTTTTATGTCTTAATCGGAAAAACAAAACACACGGGAAATAATTTTCCATCTGGATTGTTAAAAATCTGAATCTGTTTTCCTGCTTCTGATCTGGACTGCGCAGAGAGGAATAAGCGAGCATAACCTCTCATCTTTATATCAATGAACTATTAAAATGCTAGGGTGGGATTGTAATCTTGAAATGGGATCAAGGAGACCCGTCTGATCATCAAACCCATTGAGTGAAAAGTGGCAATATACATAAATAATAAGGAAGTTCAAAGACTGCCATAATAACCCATTAGCTGGTTTCCTGGGGGAAGCTAAGCCCTTGGTTCCAGCTAAATCAGACTGTAGTATGGGACTTAAGTCACAATTAGTTTCCACTAATCTAGGAAAGCAAAGGACTCGTGGGGTCAGCCCAGCTCACATAAGGGACACCAGCACATCTGAATTTCAGAGAGGTGACAAAATATTTGTACCAAAGCTACAGCTAAAGTTAGAGATTCTTTCCAAGTTCATCTGTTTTGCTTCTTTGTCTTGAGCCCACGGAATCTTCTACAGTGGTACCTCGGTACTTGTCAATTGGTTCCGGGAGATATGATGAGTATAAAAGGGACAAGTACCAAACAAACCACACAACTAATGCATGATCCTTTGTTTTGACCAGAAAGGGTAGTGAGTCACAAGGCAACTGCCACTGACAGGTTGTAGCTTGCGCATCAAGCACCAAAGAATACTGAGACAAGATTTTCACCTCAAAATGTGTCAACTACCAACTTCAACGAGTTTTAAAGCGGTTGAGTACCGAGGTACCACTGTACAAAACTTGGACTCGTTTGAGTTTTGATTGCTGAACCAATGTACTGGATATTTTTCTGCAAAAGTCCAGAAAACTAAGTAATCCTTTTTGGAATTTTAATGTGACCTGGTGTAGCTACCGTTTAGCAACTCCTAAACTCATCCTACATTCACCTGCTTCACACATGATAGGAAGTATTTCAAGATGGTGGGTTGTGAAAGGGACAGCACAAAGTTTGGGCACGTAGCCAAGTTAAGTGAGAACAAGGTTCTTAAAAAAAATGAGATTTAGAAATAATGGGGCAACTAGACTTATATCTCACATACCTTGGGGCGTTTCCATTCCACATTCGCTAGTGGTGGATTCAGATAGAAGAGAGAAGCATCTGAAGCAGGAAACTCAGGGTCTTCAAAGAGCTTCTTCCGTTCAAGGCACCGTCGCTTGAGGTCTTCATACTTCTGATTTTTAAAGGGCTTGGCTGAGGTAGAACCCATGGACTCTGTCTGGAGAAAATGGATATATTGTTTTGTAGAAGTGGCTTGTCATAAAATCACTTTGACTCAACTAACGGCACATATACTTTGCCAGCAAAAGTCCATACAGTCAAAGCTCTGGTTTTCCCAGTAATAATGTATGGTTGTTGGCTGGACCATAAGAAAGGTTGAGCGCTGAAAAATGGATGCTTTCAAACTATAGTGCTGAAGTAGATTCGTGAGAGTCCCTTGGACAGCAAGGAGATCAAATCAGTCAATCCTAAAGGAAATCAACCCTGATTCTTCTTTTGGAAGGACAGATACTGAAATACTTTGACCGCCTAAGGAGAAGAGAAGACTCCTTGGAGAAGAGGATGATGCTGGGAAAGATGGAAGGCAAAAGGAGAAGGGGACGGCAGAAGATGAGATGGTTTAGATCAGTGGTGGTGAACCTATGGCACAGGTGCCAGAGGCGGCACTCAGAGCCCTCTCTGTGGGCACGTGTGCCGTTGCCCCAGTCCTAGGCCTTCAGCTGGGTTTTATAAAACCTTTTTGCTTTAGGTCTCCTCCGCCATGTACAAAAAAAAAAAGAAGGTTCAATCAGTCAACTTCTTGCGGGGAAAAAAAGATCTTGCAAAGTTGGAATTGATCGATTGAACTTTTTAGTCCCACCCAGTCTGCCATTATCATTGCAACCATGCCCACCCAATGGCCCACAGCCACCCGGCACCGGCTCAAGGTTGACTCAGCCTTCCATCCTTCCGGAGTAGGTAAAATGAGGACCCAGATTGTTGGGGGCAATGTAAATATATATATATATACATTGCTTACTGGTGTACACCGCTTAGAGAGTGCTTGCACTTAAAGCGGTATATGAGTCTCATAAATAAATAAATAAATCACTGGTTTAGATAGTGTCATCAATGCAATGAACATGAATTTGGGCAAACTCCAGAAGACACTGGAAGAGGGGGGGGGATGGCATGCTATGGTCCATGGGGTCACGAAGATTCAGACATGACTGAGCGACTGAAGAACAACAAAAGGCAAAGAATAAAATGTTACAAAGAAAAACTAGAAAGAAACACCAGTTTATTTCCACAATAATGATAGGAAAGTACTTTCTATGTCACCAGACAACAGCAGACTAGCGTAGGTGATGATCAGTTTGCTATAGAGATCACACCTTTGTTCTCCCACCCCTTCCCATTTATCCGTCATCATCCCCAACACTGACCAATTTGAAATCTTGTATATAGCCAATAGATGACTGGACCACTGCTATGCAACACACAGCTTTATGAAATTGCAACCACGGGACATGATTTGCGTAGTGTGCAACTCCCCATAAAGCTGACTACAATAAAGTGTGAATTTATACAAAATGTATAGAGGAACTTCTTGGTAGAAAAGATTTTCATGGAAAGTCTGCTTAAAGGAAATACACTAGAAATACAAAAATACAATACACTAAAAATACAAAAAGTCTAGAAAGATAGCTACGATAGTCTAGAAGTTGGATTAAAAATGGATTCTGATTTAGTATTACAACCAGGAGAACTAGCGAGCTGACCATTTGTCAGATCATCTTAGAAGTTGATCAGTTGCAGAGTGAGCTGGTTGTGAGTAAGAGTGTAAGTAGCTGAAATGAGTTTAGACATACTGGCCCCATGAAATTTTGCAACAGCAGAAAGGCTAGTTTCCGATAAAGGATGCTAAGGTTTTTCTTTCCCTAAATAAAGATCCATAAAAATTGTTTGGGAAAGGATAAACAGATATCACTGAAAATTGCATGTAAATAGTGAGAATTTAAAAAAAGAATTCTGTCAATGGAATCTGGATTTTAAAAATAAGCCTTGAACAATGAAAGCAAGACTATCTTTTGTTGTTCGATGGGCTTTGGGATAATTTATGTTAAAAGATATGCAAATTAGAAGCAGATGCATATTAATGTACCCGGAGACTTTGCGAACATAAGTGGATACAAAATTCTGCATAAATTAAGCCCATAGGGAAGGTGTCGTGCAGAACTCAAAGGTTATTTTTCTGATATTAATCAGATAAAATTGTTAGTGATTCGCACATCTCCAGATGGGGTGGAGAATAAAAGCAGGCACAAACCAAATCAATATTTTAAAAAATGAAACATGAAATTGTTCTCCTGAGTATTTTGGAGCTTATTATCTGGCAATAAAACTCATTGGCATATTATTAAAAATCCTGCCTTGGCCAAACTACCAATCTATTTTATACATAAGAGGCTATTTAAAAAGTTCCAAGGAAATTTCTTTTTGGTTTACCAAGGTAGAATTTTAAGGGTAGGTACAATAACACTACAGCCAGTTTGGTGGAGTGATTAAGGCACCAGGCTAGAAATCAGAAGAGTGTGAATTCTAGTCCTGATCTTGGGCCAGTCACTTTTTCTCAGCCCTAGGAGGGAGGCAATGGCAAACCACTTTTAAAAAACCTTGCCAAGAAAACTGCAGGGACTTATCTGCGTGATCTCCAAGAATTGGGCATAACTGAAAGGAAAGTAAAAAAAGTACATTCTAACTTAATTCTTGTGGCACAGTCTTCACTAGTCATTCCAATTTTCTGAAGCTTTAAGAAAACATATAGGGGGCTGGAGGCGAAAACATATGAAGAATGGTTGCAGGAACTGGGTAAAAGAAGGACTAGGGGTGACATGATAGAAGTGTTCCAATATCTAAGGGACAGGCACAAATAAAAGGCGGTCAACCTATTTGCGAAAGTATGAGAGGGCAGGACAAGAAGTAATGGTTGGACACTTATTATCAAAGAGACATCCAATCTAGAACTAAGGAGAAATTTCCCGTCACTGAGAACAATTAACCAGTGGAATGACTTGCCTCCAGCTGTTGTGGGTGCTCCATCACTGGAGGCTTTTAAGAAGAGACTGGACAGCCATTTGTCTGGAATGGTATGGGGTCTCCTGCTTGAGCAGGAGGTTGGACTAAAGACCTCCATGATCCCATCCAACTCTCTTATTCTGTTATATAATAAGTGTCTAACAGCTCGACTCCCTCTATATTTGGAAGTGTTACAGAATGAGTTTTGCAATCGTTGTTGTTAATTGCGAAGTCGTGTCCGACTCATCGCAACCCCATGGACAACGTTCCTGTCCTCTACCATTTTCTGGAGTCCATTTAAGTTCACACCTACTGCTTCAGTGACTCCATCCAGCCACCTCATTCTCTGTCGTCCCCTTCTTCTATTGCCCTCAATCTTTCCCAGCATCAGGCTCTTCTCCAGTGAGTCCTTCCTTCTCATTAGGTGGCCAAAGTATTTGAGTTTCAACTTCAGGATCTGGCCTTCTAAAGAGCAGTCGGGGTTGATCTCTTCTAGGACTGACCGGTTTGAACGCCTTGCAGTCCAAGGGACTCGCAGGAGTCTTCTCCAGCACCATAGTTCAAAGGCCTCAATTCTTTGTCGCTCAGCCTTTCTTATGGTCCAACTTTCACAGCCATACATTGCAACTGGGAAAACCATGGCCTTGACTATACGCACTTTTGTTGGCAGGGTGATGTCTCTGCTTTTTGGTATGCTCTCTAGATTTGCCATAGCTTTCCTCCCCAGGAGCAAGCGTCTTTTAATTTCTTGGCTGCAGTCCCCATCTGAGGTGATCTTGGAGCCCAGAAAAATAAAATCTGTCACTACCTCCATTTCTTCCCCATCTATTTGCCAGGAATTGAGAGGGCCAGATGCCATGATTTTGGTTTTCTTAATGTTGAGTTTCAAGCCAACTTTTGCACTCTCCTTCTTCAATCATTGCAATCAATTGCAATCATTGCTGACAGGTTATTTCCCTTTCCTACTTCCTAAAAACCCACCTGTTTTACCCTGAAAATATCTCTAGTCCTCTTAAAAGTATGTATCTTCACCACCATTCAGAAAGCTAGGGAGGTCCTGATTCTGTAGGACCTCCCTAACCTTTCTATCTTTAAATGAATACCAATGGAAGGAGCAGCTCCATAAAATATTTCAGACTGGGAAGAATCAGCAGACATAGGAAAGGCTATGGAGTGATGGAAAGAAGTGTTCGGTGTTTGTGATTGTTTGGGGAAATCCAAAACTAAACTCAGATGGCATCCAAAAGAAATTTCAGAGAAAATCTCAAGCAACCCAAGAATAACATAGGATAAAAAGGAGTAGCCTTCACAGGGGAAGGAAAAGTTTGAGAAATTGCAATTGGAGTCTTAACATAGAATAATTTTGGTCTTTATATTGTGGCTGATAAGTCCAAATCTGGTTCGAAGATCAAGAATTGAAGTAAGTAGAGATTGTTTCAGTTGGAAAGAAATTTACATTTCTGAGATTAAAGAATGGATTCAAAATACTGTGTGCATTCTTGATCCATTTGTGCAATGTCTTTCTTTTGTGAAAATAAGATGGACTAATATGTTCCTAATATGGTCCATATGCAACAGTACGTTTAAGAACGTATTTTTTTAATTCAAATTTGTTAGAGTCACCCAACTCCGATGGACTCTTAATAACATTTTTTTTTCTTTCCTGTTTCCTTCTCCTCCCCTTAGCTTATTTTAACCTGTATGTCTGTATTTGTTTGTATGTGTTGAAGAGATTAACATAGGATGCAGTAAGGCAAACCAAGTAGTAAAAGTAAGGTTTTACACTTGGGCAAGAAAAACCAAATGCACAGGTACTGATTAGGTGAAAATTGTCCTAATAGACAATGAATTACTATAAATAGGAGCCAGCAGTGTGCAATAGCCACCCCAAAAGCCAGCACAATCCTAGGCTGCATTAATAGAGGGATAGAATCAAGATCATGTGAAATGTTAGTACCGCTTTATAAAGCCTTAGTGAGACTGCGCCTGGAATATTACATCCAGTTTTAGTCACCCCAATATGAAAAAGAGGTTGAGACCTTGGAAAGAGAAGAATAGAGAAAAACAACAAAGATGGAAGTTTTAAAGAAGAGATTGGACAGCCATTACGTCTGAAATAGTATAGGGATTCTTGCCTGAACAGGATGTTGCACTAGAAGACCTCCAATTCTGTTATTCTATTCCGTTCTGTTCTGTTCTGTTCTATCCATTCAACCATGTCCAATTCTCACTGATTCTAGGGACCAGGCTCCCCTCACATATTCTGATCTTAGGCAACTTCTTATTCTATTTTTCTTCTATGATAAGGGAACTGGAGACTAAAACATATGAAGGATAGCTGCAGGAATTGGGTTATGTCTATTTTAATGAAAAGAAGGACTAAGGGTGACATGATAACAGTGTGTCAGTATTTTAGGGGCTGCCACAAAAGAAGAGGGGATCAACTTATTTCCCAACGCATCATAAGGCAGAACAAGAAAACAATGGATGGAAACTAATCAAGGAGAGAAGCAACCTAGAACTAAGGAGAAATTTCCTAACGATGGGAACAATTAATCAAGGGAACAAATTGCCTTTGGAAGTTGTGGCTGCTCCATTACTGGAGGCTTTGAAGAGACTGGACAGCCACTTGTCCAGAAAGATAGAGGATCTCCTGCTTGGGCAGGAGGTTGGACTAGAAGACCTCCAAGGTCCCTTCCAACTCTGCTATTCTGCATTTAGGCATCCCTCCTGTTTCCATTTGGTAATGAACCCAAGTTTGTATAATCAGTTGGAGGCACGATACATTAAACCCAAAGAAGTGGATTTCTGCAGCTGCAGAACTGATTCTGCCACAAGAATCTTCTTTGGAGTTGACCACGATGTGACAATCACTCTTTTTATGAACACGATAACCATATTCACTGCTAGATTGTCATGTTGCACTAAGCCGTGGTTTCTTTAACTACACTTCTATGAACAAATCATCATTAGCAGGAACTGCACAACAGTCTAAACCATTAACCATTAACAAGAGAAGGAACAAGCAAGAACCTAAATTGTCCTATTAACATTCAATAGTTTGTATCTAATTTAAGGCTCAGTAATGAATTTGTGCTGAATTCTTTTCTTTGTGCCCAGCAAACTCTGGGGGCAACGAGTCGCCCAGCCCTGCCATAAATTTGCAAATCATAGATACTGCTTTTCAAGAATATGCTGACTTAAACGAAAACAATATTATGGCTTAGGGCAATGTATGAACCTAGACATTTCTTAACAGCAGAAAATCAACTACCACTTATTAATTCTTATTTATAGGTCACTTTTCATTATGAAAAGGGGGGAAAAGCAGGTAATTTACAATATGAAACCAATACAGTCTGTATCTGGAGATTGTGATGTACAATTGTACAAACAAAGCTACTGTTTTTTGTACAGTTTCTGCGGTATGAAATTCTTCCCAATAATTATGGAACTTACTTATGAGAAAACACAAATGAACATGCAAATCAGTCTTCCCATTAGTTTCTGTGTTTCAAAGATTGTTGCTGCTGTTTCAGTTGAAGAGGTATGAAGAAAATGTGAAATTGTCCTTTGAAACTTTTAGGGTGCAAAACTCGTGTTAGTAATGTAATCTTTTTCTTCTTCTTCTTCTTGTGCCATATCCGTTATCGGACGTTGGCGATCATGTTGGCGATCCTGTTTTTATCAGCAGCCGCACGAAAAAGTGCTGCTGAGTTTTGTCCAAACCAGTCCCTTAGATTTTGAAGCCACGATGTTCTTCTTCTGCCTGGACCTCGTTTGCCTTCCATCTTTCCCTGGAGGATTAAATGGAGTATGCTGTATTTTTCTGGGTGTCGCATCACATGTCCGAAATATTCTAATTTTCGTTTTTTAATTGTTTTGATGATTTCCCTTGGCTTTCCCAGGCAGCTTATCACCTCCTCATTTCTGATCTTGTCAACCCAGCTTCTATGTAACAGCCATCTGTCAATCCACATTTCAAATGCTTCTAGTCTCTTCAGGTGGCCTTCTGTCAGAGACCGACTCTCTACTCCATAGAGCAGGATAGGAAAAATATAGCATCTGACAAGCCTGATTTTCAGTCTTAGGCTTATGTTGTGACTGCAGAAGACCTTTTTCATTTTGAAGAATGCTGTTCGAGCTTTCTCTATCCTTGTCTTTACTTCAACGATCATGTCCCAGCTTTCATGTAGATTAGAACCGAGGTGTGTGATCCTTTCAACTTTTTCTAGTGGTATTCCTTCTGAATTTATTAGTGGTAAATTAGCGGGTTGTTCGCTGACGACCATGATCTTGGTTTTTGAGGTGTTAAGCTTCAAGCCGTATTTTTCAGATATTTGTAATCTTTTTAGAGGTAGCAAACAAAGGTTATATCTCTATTTGTAGCCTGAACACAGATGACATTCTTCCCAGCCTCCCTGCATAGTTCTCTATCCTTAAAGGCACACAGAGGTTTGTGTAAACAATTCCCTAGTAAAATGAACACACAATCCTCTTTTCACAGCCAGTCTCTTAATTTTACAGAAATGTGGTTTTGCCCAAAAGCTTGCATTCTTGAGATTATATTTGGTCACTCTTTAAACAAGTTCAGCTCCACTTCTGAACTTTAAAAAAAAATCCAAATAACACTCGGGGTAACAAAGTTTGTTTGTTTGTTTTTTTAAGTTATAATTGCCACCAATTCTTGTTCATCTGGATTTTTGTCCTTCAGTGCTAGCAACCCCAACGGATATATTAGAAGATTCAGTTTAATAAATATTGCATTTTCAAGGGAGAGATCCTACAAATTTAACAGGGTACAAATCAATATTATTAACTCACCTGAATTAAAATGATTTTAAGCCATGGAGTTCCTGTTCTGCCAGGCAAACGTGCACAGAGAGTTTGCAGATCCCTGCAGCAAACAAACTTCTTAACCTGAAATCTCTTTGGACTGTACCAAATTTTTTTCATCACAGGGGGAGGTCAAAATAACTTCTGTCCACTTCTGTTTCTCTTTCTCTCTCGCTCTCCCTCTTGAACTTCAGTTTGCAAAATGTCTTTATGAGTCATGTGGGGAACATTTTAAAAAAATAAATAGCTGGAAAGGAATTCATTTGGTTCGTTCCTAGGGTACATCTGTTTAAAAAATTAGCATCAACATCCTGTTGTCAAAAACAAATACAAACAAATAAATAAAATAAACAGACTGGAACAAAGAGCATCTTGAGGTATCTTGAAATCATGTGTTGATGAAGAGTTGATGAGGGATGAAGGAGGGAGAAGAAGGAGGGAGAAGAAAGGAAGGATGAAGGAGGGAGAAGAATGTTGTTTTTATGAAGAAACGTGAGCGAAAATGGGACCAGCTGTTCTTTTCTGCTTCTATTTAATTGCTGCTTTTATAACTACATCAGCCAATGTTTCTTCATCTGGCAAGACACAACCAGTGATAGATCAGAGGTGACATTGTTCAGAGAAGGCTTGTTAATGCTTTTTCTCTGATCTTTTAAGCAGGTTTTCATTTCCTTCGCAATGTCTCCAAAGGAATGGTTTAAATTCCTGGGAAATGGATGGAGTGCAGGCCTCCATCATACAAATTCATCAAGCTACTTTCTGGGTCAGGGGTCTTCAAACATGGCCCTTTTATGACTTGTGGACTTCAATACCCAGAATTCCTCAACCAGGTGTGCCTGGCTGAGGAATTCTGGGTGTTGAAGTCCACAAGTCATCAAAGGGTCAAGTTTGAAGACCCCTGTTCTGGGTAGTAGATCAACATCTTCTACCTTATTAGAATGTAGAGGAATTGTCAGAATCCAATTATATTTCATCTCTAGTTATCAGCTATAGAAAACCCCATTTCTGCCTTCTCTGGATTCTGTCATACGATGAAGGGAAGGGGGTGAACAAAGGGGCTTTATGGCCCTCACTTCCTTCAGTACACTTCAAAGAGACTGAATGTGGATATCGCCAAAAGGACTAACCATAACAATGGGGCTATTACCTTTCATGTACTCCTCTCTAAAGTCTCCATCCAGCCGGCAGTAAGGAAAAGGGGGTGGGAATGTAATGCCTGAGACTGTCGCAGGAAGAAGGGGGTGATTGGGTGGGGCTACTGGGGAACCCCTTAAAACCTTGAATGGGAGAGCTTGGACCCCAAGTCCTGTCTAGAACGCCTGCAACCATTTTCTCTTATTAAAGGATGCCTGTTGGAAGAACTATTCCAAGAGTTCTGTCTTCTTAAGATGCAAAGTGGGGTGGGTCCTTACAGGAATAGAGAGTGGTAGCAGTATATCTGTCCATTCCTTCTGTTCCCTGCTTCACACATCTCAGTCTCCGAAGGCTACTCCCATATTTTTGTGGTTGTTTTCCGTCACCAAGTTGTGCCTTCGTGATCCCATGGACCACAGCATGCCAGGAGCCCCTGTCCTCCAAGTATCCTGTAGTTTCCCCAAATTCTTGCTCATTGTATTGATGACACCATCTAACCATCTCCTCCTCTGCCGTCCCCTTCTCCTTCTCCTTCCACCTTTCCCAACATCAGGGTCTTCTCCAAGTATTTGACCTGCAGCTTCAGTCTCTGTCCTTCCAAAGAACAGCCAGGGTTGACTTCCTTTAGGATTGACTGATTGGATCTCCTTGCGATCCAAGGGACCTTCAAGAATTTTCTCCAATTCCACAGTTTCAAACTACGTCCCCACATGCCATTACACAAGTGGAAAAGGAAAACACCAGTTTTTAGTAAGTAAAAAGAATTTAAAGTAATTTAGTAAGTAAATTCACAAAAATGCCCCTTAGAAAAGAGATTCCTACTCAGTTCCGCCCCCTCCCTGGAAGAATATCCATTACCAAGCCCTTTTTATAAAAGCATAATCAAATTAAATGCAAATCTTTATTACAATCATCGACCAGCATAAATAGGTACAGTTATTAAAACACAGAGGATACACCGCAGTAAAAAATAAACATCTAAAAGTATTTGAAAAGCTAGAAGATATTAAAGATGATGAATTAAAAATAGAAATACGTATAAAAAGATAAGAATCCGAAAGAAGGGTTAGGAGGATTAGATGGGTATCGTATGTGAAAGAACGTATCAAGTTATAGAACACTCTAATATTGTAATATGTGGAAGGACCTTGGGAGATGGGGAAGAGTTATAGCCAGGGGCATTTGGATAAGAGACAACTCACCCTGCAGCAGGAATGTGGAATTGGCAAATATCCCAGAAGGGATCCTCCCTAATTTCTTGGCCTATAATGGCCCTGGGCGGGCATGGAATGTACTTAAGATTGACAAGAATTGTTTAAGAATCCACTGAATAATAGAATAAGAGGGACTTTGCAGATCTTCTACTGCAATCCCTTGCTCGGGCAGGAAACCCTATACCAGGGGTATCAAACTGCAGGCCCCTGGGCTGGACACATCATGCAGAAGCCACACCCACCCATTGCCAGCAATGGCAAAACAGTTCCGATACGTTGCACGACATCATGCGACGTTGTGAGTTTGACATGTCTGCCCTATACCATTCAACATCAAAATAACATCAAAATGTCCTTATACCATTTCAGACAAATGGTTGCCCAGTCTCTTCTTAAAAGCTTCCAGTGTTCAAACGCCTACAACTTCCGGAGGCAGGCTGTTCCACTGGTTAATTGTTCTCGCTGTCAGGAAATTGCTCCTTAATTCTAGGTTGCTTCTCTCCTTGATAATTTTCCATCCATTGCATCTTGTCTTGCCTTCTGGTGCTTTGGAGAATAGGTTGACCCCCCCCCTTCTTTGTGGCAGCCCCTCAAATATTGGAAGACTGCTCTCATGTCACTCCTATTGTAAGATTCTAACCATACAATAAATTTAGAGCTAGTACTTATCTGGTCTACATCATAAGGCTGACAAATATGTTAAACTAAGTCCTCATTAAAACTAGTTTACAGCACTGGTCATTCTCCACTGAATTTGGAGTACTGTTGCATAGAACCTAGATGTTGTAATTGTATTGGTATCAGGAAGCAGCAGAGTGGTGTAAAATGGTCTAGGGCAGGGGTAAGCAACCTTGGCTCTTTTATGACTGATGGACTTCAACTCCCAGAATTCCTGAGCCAGCGTGGCTCAGCTTGGAAACCTCTCCCTTTCCCCTCAGCATGGCTGGCTCAGGAATTCTGGGAATTGAAGTCTACGAGACATAAAAGAGCCAAGGTTGCCTACCCCTGGTCTAGGGTAGCCTGGGTATTTATGCCGTAATGGTGAGATGAGGGTAGTATGAATGTCTCTCTAGTAGAGGCACTGAGCAAGCACATGCTCCGTTGTTTCTATGTGAAGTAGAGCTAAGAGGGAGAAATATCTTCCTTCTGCCTACTGATAATCCGAGGTCTTGTGACTGACCATGTCCATTACAGCAGCCATGCATTTCACCCACTTCAAAATTCCAAATGTGCTCATTGGTTGAAAATGTTGCCTGTCTCTGGTGTTTTTTTTTAAAGTGTGTGTTAGAAAAAAAAACATAGGGAAATTACTAGGATAGACAGAATTGTTTAGGAAAAGAAACATGGGGGAGACCTACATAATACCTAGGAGCCGTGGTGGTGCAGTGGTTAGAAGGCAGTATTGCAGGCTGATTCTGCTGACTGCCAGCAGTTCGATCCTGACCGGCTCAAGATTGACTCAGCCTCCCATCCTTCTGAGGTCCACAAAATGAGGACCCAGATTGTTGGGGGGTAAGAGGCTGACTCTGTAAACCGCTTAGAGAGGGCTGTAAAGTACTGTGAAGTGGTATATAAGTCTAAGTGCTATTGCTATTGTGATCTATCTATCTATCTATCTATCTATCTATCTATCTATCTATCTATCTATCTATCTATCTATCTATCATCCTATTGCCAGGGGTTCGATCCTGACAGTGCTGAGGGTTGGCTGACTCTGTAAACCACTTATAAAGCACTGTGAAGCGGTATATAAGTCTTAGATGCTATTGTTATTGCTATAATAAATAAGGATCCCAAACAATCTTCAGCCAGTTCCCAAACACCCAAAATGGATGTCCTAGAAGGTCCTTTTAATGCCCCCCCCCATTTTCTCAAAGTAAGTAGGAGGTGGAGGCTCACAAGCACAATTTTGGGGGTAATTGTTGCCCATTTTACGGAGTATTCCCCCCTCCCTTCGTAAGAGCAGCTACAATTTAATGACATTTCATAAACATCATAAAACATAATTGCTTAGAAGCTCGTTTCAGTTGCGATTACATCATTTACTTCTGTTTTCCTTACTTGATTTATTTTTTAAATGTCTGCTATATCTTTGGGTCTACCCACGTTCTAAAGTGTTATTTCATTTTAATAGCATGATATCGTACTCAATTAAACGTAGTGTTCTGAAAGATATTTCAAGTCAGCAGTACTTGTTTTTGGTGGTGATTCACAAAGAGCTTTATTTCCAATAAGTCAAGCGACGTGGCTGTATAATTTGGATAAATATATTTATTGGTTGTAGACATTGTGCCTCTTAGCATTTAAAGAAGGATGCATAAATTCACTGGCCCTAATTTATCGCCACAATTCTTTGAGGGTTGTTAAGGTTGAAGACACACTGACCTTGAGTCACTTAGTAAGCCTCACACCCAAGCAGAAATGCTTAATTGCATCCCATTTATTTAACAATGGCAATCAGAAGTTGTGAAATGATCTGGAATGGACTAATCAGTTGTGCTCATTATTCATTTGAGTTTTAAGTCAATAACTCCAGAGGACAAGTTGCAAACTTGCTAAATTAACACTTATTATACCCACCACTCTGTTCTTTATCTTAAGTGGTAGGGAGACCAACTTTGACACTAAGGAGGGAAATGGGTTGGACTTAGAGCAAAGTAGCATTTGCTTCATGCTAAATGTAGCTTCCTCCGTAGGAATTACATACACTCTCGGACAATTACTGAGCTTTCTGATAATCATTTAGGTGAGAATGTGTCCGGTTTGTTAATACGGGTAGCAGGGATTTGTGTAGGTAGGTGTGGATGTGGTATCT